CTCTGGTACCTATCCAAGAGCCGGCCTGCCGGCCCCCGTCCGTCTCAAGTTTCTCCCCTTGAAGCCGCCTGCCGTGCCCCCGTTGCCGTCTCAAGCTCCTCCCCGCTTCTGGTGGGCCCGCTTTGAGTCCTGGGCCGAGCTCCCGCTTCTGGCTGTCGAGGCCTCCGGCCCGTCCTCGGCCACAGCCGTTCTAGGCCTTCTCGTGTTCCCGCCCCGTCCTGGGGGCCGTCCTCTGCGTCCAAGACGCCCTGGAGGTTGCCGAGTCCTGTACCCCCACCCGTCTGGGGGCCGTCTTCTCGTCAGACGCCCTGGAGGTTTCCCGTTCTGTACCTCAACGTCCTGGCCGTCTTCTCGTCAGACGCCCTGGAGGTTGCCGTGTCCTGTACTCCTAAACCGCGTCTTGGGGTCGTCTTCTCGTCAGACCGCCTGAGTTGCTGTGTCCTCTATCCTAACTGAACTCTCCTCTTGAGGCTCTCCGTTTTGAACTTTCAACTGAACTCCTTGCTGAACTCTCCCTAGAACTCTCCCTTGAACTTCGCCCTCTGAAACTCTCCCCTGAACTCTTCCTGGAGTCTCTCCTCTGAGCTCTCCCTTGAAGACTCTGTCAACTGGACTCTCTACTGGCAAACTCTGCTACTGTGAACGCTGCTCAAACTGGACGTTGTTTCTCTCCATCGACGGCTGCTCCTCTGAAACTCTTTCCGTGACCTCTCCTCGTTCGAACTCTCCACTGACTCTTCGACAGAACTTTCCCCTGAGGCTCTTACCCTGAGCTCTCCATGAAGCTGCTCCTCTGAACTCTTCCCGTAACCCGTCTCCTCGGACTCTCCACTTGAACTCTTTCACAGGAACTTTTCCCCTTCGAGACTCTACCCTTTTTTTTTCGAGCTCTCCATCGAGGCTCTCCTCGGGAACTCGTCCCGCTTGACCTGCTGCCTCTCGGAACCTTCCGTGAGGCGGCTCCTATTCGTAACTCTTCGCGCTGAGGCTCCCCTTCTGAGACTCTGAACATGAGCCCATCTTGAACTCTCCTCTGAACTCCCTCCCTGACCTCTCCTCCGAACTCTCCTCTGAAAATCTCCCCTGAGCTTCTCTCTGAGCTCACCCCTGACTCTCCCTTTGAACTCTCTCCCGAACTCTCGCCTTTGAACTTCTTTCCTCTTGAGCTGCTTCCAACGCAACTCTCCCGCTCCGGGCCGTCCGCCCGAGTTCCCCACTTTGGACTCTGCTTTGCCCCCGGGCCGTCTGCCCGAGTTTCCCTCCTTGTTTTCTGCCTTGCCCCGGGCCGTCCGCCCTCCCTCCCTCCTTGAAATAAAGGTGTTGTCAAGTGTTATCTGCGTTTGGGTCCTCCCTGCTTCACTCTGCGTATCAATAATGGAATATGGCCCACACATGAAACTTGTGCTTGTCTTATATTGTACATCTTAAACATATCGAAAAATATATTACATGTGTTAATAAGCCACATTTTCAAATACATTCAGTAAATTAAAGTTGAAAATATTTTTAAAAAAGCCCAATAACTTATTTGCATAACAAGCTTGAGATATAGACTTCCTATTTCCCCTTATTACAAGCAATCAGAGGTTTCTGTGTTAATGAATGAGCTGAAAACGAAATAAATGAAACACTAAATGAAAGCTGGGATGTATGCTGTGTTTTTTTGCTTAAAGCATATTTACATACATTTTATTGATTTTGCTAACTTATAACTTAGGAGGCAATATACCTCACCTCTAGTGAGTGGCCCAGCCCTTCGTATGTTTTTCTGCATGTGGCCCTCAGTGAAAAAAGATTGGACACCCCTGCTATAGCGGATTCGAAAAATGTAAAACAGCCATGGTGGTGGTCTGCCTTGCTCTCAGATTGCCCTTTTATTCGGTTTCTAGTGGTTTAATGTACCTGCTTGCTGGGTGCGGCCCCTCGTGGGTGCGCTGCGGGGTCCGTCACCAGCTGCGTTGAAAGGGGCCACACTGATCATATAGGTGGTGTAACCGGTCAGGTTCTTCAGCTTCACTCCCCCCTCTGGCATGAACAGAGTCCGCAGCCGCTCCGTCTCGTTCTTGCGCTGGAACTCCCAAAAGTAAACCTACGTGGAATAGGATTCATGAATAAATATTAATGCAAGTCTACAGAGGCTGTTCAGGGAATTCAGCTTCTATAAACCTCCCTCCCATTTCAATCTCCCTTAAGGGAAAGTGTTTTTTATTTGATTCACTGTAAATGTTTTGTTGAAAAATTTCATTGAAAGCCCCTCTGGAAAACAGTGCTACCTAAAGTGTAGAAATGTGCATTTAATGGTGATTCACATGAAATAGATGCGGTCTCTTGAGCACTACAAATAAACATCAGAATCTTTATATAAAGATAAAAACTGGGAAGTAGGACTATAAAATGTGTTGCTCCAGGGCCTATTTTGGCACCTGGCAGCGTTTTTAGAAGATGTTAAATAAAAAAAGTGTGACTCCGACCTTGTAGCCCTGGATGTCTCCGTTCTGTGCGTCCACGGGGGGAGGGTCCCACGTCACGTCCAGCTGGGTGGCGGTTGCGGACTGAATGGCCACACTCTGGGGCGGAGCTGTAGGCACTGTTGAAGGCCATCACACACATTATTATACCAGACAAGGACATTTCCTGCATACAAGGGATTGTTTTAGTTCGTGCTATACTCTGTGTGTTGACAGGCAGGATAACAGCCAAACAGACTAAACCTAAGAAGAAGAACCCGGGATTTACAAAGACAAAATACTCCTCTTAGCGTGCTTCTTTAGGAGATCACTTCAGAATCAGAAGTTTACTTCCAAGTACGTTTACACATACAATACACTTGCTTTGGTATCTGGTGGTTCGAACATAAACAATAAAAAAAAAGAAGAAGTTGCAAAGCAGTTAGAAAAAAAAAAATATATATATAAGGATAATACAAAAATAAGTATTTTTAAGAAACAATTTAGCATTTTAGATGTAACAATACAAATAAATGTAAATGTAACTATACAAATAACCCTAAATGCATAAAAAAAACTTAGACAATAGACAATAAGTATATATGGCAAACTACAGTGTATTATATTTTAAAGGGATGGGCTGTGCAGACATGTGCAAAAAGCAGTCAGAGAGTTGAGCATGAACATGGCTCACATTATTAAGAAAGACAAAAAAGAACAAGATGTTGTTCTTATTAAATGTGATGCATAATGTTTTTGGGGTGGATAAAAAGCACATAGGTTGTGTGAGCGACGGCTGTATAGAAAAGTCTAATCCACTTGCATTGCGGGTGGTCAAATGACTTTGTGCAGGAGCCTGTGTTGATTGAAATGACAGGAAGCGTACATACCTGCCTCCCCCACAAACACCTCCTGTGGCGTGCTGGTCGGCCCCTCGCCCACAGCGTTGTAAACACTCATGCGTATCTCGTAGCGCTTGTGTTTACTCAGCTCTGCAGTGGAAGTAAACAACAAGGGATTAAAAGCTAGGAATTTATTTAACACGAAACACCACAAATCACCTTTTGGAAAAACTATTTTGAACTCGTAGATTTAAGGAACAGCAGGCATATGTTTCACAGGAATTGTACCTTGTATAATTACATGTGATAAATATATTGATTGTCGAATCCCTATTTGCTCCTTATTTTGGAAACCCAATATTCCTTCAGCTCATCCAAAATCCCTCAACCTCCTTCCTGGTGCCACAACAAATCTGGTTGAGTCAGTAGTGCAATACTAAGGCTGTAATCCCTCAGCAGTGTCCCACTTGTTCTCATAACACCGCTACTGAGAATGGTAAAACACTGATTTTCTGCCACAAATAAATAATTACAAGGGTGCAGGAGCAGTCTGTGGCCATCTGCTTTTTTTTTTTCTCCAAATAAACTGACAAACCAAGTGCAAACCAAGGGTGTGTTGGGACTACACGAGCGCGTGTACTCAGGGTCCAAGGATGTCTGCAGACAGAGAGCTTCCGTTTGCTTTAGAGAAGTGTTTGTACCAGTTTGGTGTAAATATAAGCAGCCAAATGTTGTGTTAAATTACTCAAAACTTCAAACATATGTTGAGATTGTTTTTCTTTGTAACCTAATTACTTTGGGGATTGAATCATTGTTAAAGAGGCCATATTATGAGCACTACGTTTTGTTGAGTAGTTGGACATGTTTACACGCTTTAATGTTCAAAACATGCTTTTTTTAGCCTTTGCATGCACACAAAACTGTATAACACAAACCAGGGAAGTGAAAAACCACAAAAAGCAAAATAGGGCCTCTTCAGGACATGTGTGTGTTTTTTTAAGACAGAGCCATAACATCACTTACTGTCCAACTGATGCTGGGTCTGAGTTGAATCACTCAGGTTCTGGATGCTGTAGGGTGCTGCGGTGGAGAGGCAAGAAGGAAAAGTAATAAAAAAGACAGGTTAAATAAGGGGGAGGAAGTGGAGAGACAATAGGCTTAGTGTCTGATATACCCCTTGTTAAGAAGCGCTTCACTTTGATCATAAATAAACCCACAATCACAGTGGTCATACCTCCGAGTCAGCCCAGGATTGACTCAAAGGTAAATGATAGGGTAAGTTACACGGAGCAGGAGTAACAGTGCCTGAGTAAACCTAATAATAGCCTGCAGCTGATAGCTGCTGATCACAAGATGACATGTTTTGCTGTGAGGTGTCAAGACCAGCGGGGATATCTTGGGAAAGTTTTCCTCTGATGGAAATAAATGGTGCTGCTGACACGTGAAGAGAAAAATGACCCGTGAAGGAAACTCATAATGGTGTGTAGTTGTTACTGATGTGAAGGTGGGACAATAACACTTTTTGTCACAGTGGTGAATAGTTTCTTGATGTGCAGTTGTTGTCCTTGGTTTATTTCTTTAAATTCACAATGTAGCTTTATTAGCATAATAAATGCAGCATACCGGCAGTTCTCAATGAAAGGGTTTTTGTGTAATGATCCAACAGTGTAGGTGGTAACAAACTGCTGTTATTCATGTTTGCTGCAGTAATTCCTCACCGGTGAGATCGCCCCAGGTGGACAAACTGCTGATGGTGTGAGCAGAGTAACTGCGCAGACGGTCATAAAGCAGCTCACGATATCGAATCCGAAAGCCCAGTAAGATTCCGTTTATCTTCTCCTCAGAGGGGGGCTGGAAATGAAAATATTGAGGATTTTAAGTCTAATGTAGCAGAACTAAGCCGAACAAATATCTGAGAATATTGCACATGGCATACTTTTTCAGCTTTAATGTGGTCATATAAATGGCTAATTTCACTTTAATAGACATTTTACTTTTGTGTTTTTTCACTGTAATATTCCACTTCTTCATCATGTAATTTGTCTCTTGACTGGCATGCATTAATTGAGGCTTACAGTTATAAAAGAAAATCTCGTCTCAGAGTGATCTCATCCAAAGGTGAGTCACACAGAGAGAAATCCCCGATGGTTGAACATGAGAGAGCGGAGCCGGAGGGCAAAAGCAAAACAAGAACCCTTCTATCCTTATAAACTCTACAAGTGTTCTCCATAAACATCACATTGGGGCTTGCAGCCTCCTGTTTTCCTCTTTATGAGCTGTGGATTCAGGTGTGAGTGTTGGAGAGGGTGTTTTTAGTTAGACACACACAGAGTACATGGTGTGTGAAGCATCAGCCCCTAAGTATAGGCCTACTTTGTGTACTGCCATGGTATCTCTTTAGAGGCCACTTTCTTAGGCTTTTTATGGATTTTGCAAACAATGGAACATAACAAATAAAATAAATCTGCCTCTTCTTACCTGCCAGCGGATCAGCACGGACGTCGTTGTGTGCGGTGTCACAGAGAGAATGGAGGGTGCTTCGTCAGGCGCTGAGGCAACAAAAGTGAGATAAATGGGCTAAATTAACCTGCAAATGTTCACAATCCAAGATGCTAAATGTATCCATGTGCAGTGGCATTCATGGAGCATAAACACAACAGCTAGAACAGAACAGGCAGATGGGTCGAAAACAGGCGTTTGGAAAGAGGATATTTCTTTAGTTGGTTAAAGCACCAGTGGGCAAACGTTTGATGCTGTGCACGTCTCATGGTAACTGCAGATGGTGCACACATGACATCACCTGCTGGGTTTGCCAGTGGTGTCTGAATCACAACAATAGGCTGATTCATGGAGACATTAGACTCCGTTCACACATACATAAGAGTGAAATTGTAATATTGTGCCTATAAATACCTCAATACAGTTCATGTGCGAACATTAAAGGTGAAATAGTTCCATATTTCATAGTACAGAAACGTAATCTTTTTTTAAAAGCGTTTGATATCATGTGTTATTATTGTTTTTTCGGCAAAGTCTTGTCAATACTGTTAGGTTGCCAGATAACCATTGAGGAGTGAATGCACATGCCATGGAATAGTTGCAGAAACGCCCAAAAGAACCACAACATGTTGTTTTTACACTTGAATAGATTCAAAACAGGAGACATATTCAAGCTTATAGGTGGTTTTTATAACCTTACTTCCAGTCTTTATGGAATGCTTAGCTAATTGGCAGCTAGCTGTAGCCTACTGTTTAACAAACAGACATGAGAGTGCTGCCAAAGCTTTGGATCTAACTCTTGGATAAAAGGAGAGTGGCGAGTGTGGATTTCAAACTAGTCAAGGTAAACGTTGAGCATGGGGCATGTGTAACAGCGATGCTAGTTACCAGGCATATTGGAAGAAAATGTCATTTTTTTAAATGTTAGATTTCTACTTAAAATCCTGTGGAGCAACTATAAGCAAAGAAAGTTAGTCTTATTAGCTTGATTGAGTAGCAGCGAAAGGTGGGGCTTAGCAAAGGCTTAATTCACTCATCAGATATTAAAGTTGATGTCACTCTTACCGTCCTGTAGTGTCGTGATTGCTTCACTTTCCTCGCTGTACTCACTGTCCCCTATGTCATTGGTGGCTTTTACTCTGAACTGGTAGGATGTGAAGGGCTTCAGCCTTAGGGATGGAAGCACAGGAAAGCCCATCAATCTTGATGATAAACTACGACACTGGATCTTTAACCTTTCAGCTACAGATATCAAAAAGACAAATGTAGTCTCACTGTGGGAGCTAAAAGCTTTTCAAGCTAACAAGGAAGAAAGTCAGCCAAACTGAGAGACCTCTCTGCTGAATGCTGCATTCCTAATGTCCTAAACTTGTTTGGCTAGTTCATACCATTGTTTATGTTCCTAATCAGACTCTAATACCCTGGAAACATTATTCCGTATAAGCATATTGTTGAAATGCCAAGTATAGTGCAGCTGAGGGAATATTTAAGTGAGTGTAGCAGTAGGGACTAGACTTATACTGTACATCTAAAGAGAACAAATAGAAAAACATCTCTTGTAATAAAGAGGATTAGATGTTGTAAATAAAACTCCAGAAAGCTAAAATAACTCTCTACCTTGATACTATGTAGGAGGAGGCCTCATGGTTGACGGAGGCAGAGTGGACGGTCCAGTTGCTCTCAGGAAGCTCTCTTTGCTGCACGGTGTAGTAACGCACAGGGGACAGGCCGTCGCTGCCCGGCTCCCAGGACAGGAGGACATGACGGGCCTGGACGTCTTTCTGAGGAACCATGGGGCGGCTGGTGGGCTGGGGACGAGCTGAATGTGGACACACAGACAACAGGTGTTAAAAAGGGAAGGAGAAAAACACATAGTAACTTATGTTGGAGGGACTGTGGGAAATCATACTCATATATCTTGGTTATGCCCTAAATTACATATATTTTGGAAAGAGATATTTGATGCTCTAGAAGTATTCTAACAGAATATTGCTCTAAATCCGATGGTGGCTCTACTGGGAGTTTTACCTGAGGGTCTAGAAGAGAGGTCTAAGAGGTATATATTAAGAATTGTATTGACAGCGGCCCGGAAGTGCATCACCATTAAATGGTTAAAACTAAAACCTCCCACCTATAACCGCTGGATTCGGAGAGTGTGGGATATCCACCACATGGAGCAATAACATATCTATTATGCTTACAGAAAAATACATTTATTAAGCGATGATGCAGTAATAATTGTTAACACTCTCGTATGTCACTTGTATTCTGTTTCCGTCATTATTATTTTTGTTTATTTACTATTATTTGTTATTTATTTTGCTTATTTTCTAAGGTAGGCCATCTTTATTACATTTGTTTTTCTTTTTTTAGCACTGAGTGTTACTCTGTTACTGGTTGTCTAATACTTGAAGCCTATTCAGGATTGTATTGATACAGCTCGAAAAACAGAAAATGTGAATGTAACTGAAAGATATGTTGTACTGTATTACTGTCTAAAACGAAACAAAGAAAGTTCTGAAATAAAAAAAATAGGGAAGGAGACATTGGCAACAGAGGAGGGTGGACAAGAGAAATACACATTTAAGAATAGAGTGGGAGCAAAGGATTGAAATCATCAAGACAGGATGGAGAAATTATATAAAAGTTGAATACACTTTTTGCTTGTTCACATTTGCATGGGCCATGTTGCACAAACAAGGGAGATTCAGATGAATGAAAAGTAGCCGAGGAATAAAGTTGCAGAGTAAACAATCCACAGCATGCCTTGAGGGAAGCAGATGGACTGATTCGTTCCCAGAACTGCATCAGAGCGCTTCCGATAAACACCCACGGGGCAGAAACGCTCTGAAAACACATCTGCTGACTGGACTGTAAACTGGAAATGAACTGAGTGCAAAGCATGCTTCTTACAGCTCTCTGCTAGCTGTGCCATTACTCAGATCACACACCTGTGTCTGCTTCAAGAATTATGCAAACTACTGTTACCTTGTGTGTTACTGTTACACCTCAAAATACCACTAAACCTTTAAAACACCATAACAGATAATAATGATATTTGATGTGCTCTTCTGGATAGACCGGTGCAGGAATAAGTACTAAAACCAAGAAATCAGTTATTATTTTATTACTTTCAGTTTCCCTGTGTTTAAGTCAACGTTTATTTGAACATGTTTTATGAACACAAGATTAAGATATTTTCATGTTTCAGCTGTCATTCAAACAGCGGTTACGAGCTTTTTTGTCTAGGGACAACTTTCGGGTCAGCATACAGAATACATCATCGCTGCAGCACTGTATGTATTACTGTTGTTAATCATCTGCTATAAATCCAGCAGTCTAACATGGTTACCTCTCTTCTCCGTGGTGACCACCAGCGCCTCAGCAGCCTCGCCCCAGCCCTTCCTCGTCTGCGCTTTGATGCGGAACACGTAGACGGACTCCGGCTTGAGGCTGGTCACAGTGTACTGGCGAGCACTGGGGATCAGCACGTCCACTGTGGGTGTGTTGCTGTTGGAGGAGTTGAGGTGGTATGTGATCTGGTAAGCTGGGGGAAGATGGAGGAAAAAATATCTTATTAAGGTGTCAAACGGAGCTCAGTTTTAGGGTAAAACTAGGATGAAACATGTTTTATTTGTTGCTTCTGTTGGTAATAGCCAACTGTGCAACAAGCAGATTTGTTTCTTCTGAAACGACTCTATTAGCATCTGCTTCTGCATGCTACTGTGTGGGACTGACATACTGTATAGTTCAAAATAAATTATCCGACAGATGTATAATGACTCAACGGCTCACAGGGAAATCCCCTATTAGCTTAGAAGAGATCCCAACTCCCTTTAGAGCCAGGAAATAACAAGATTTGATATTAAACACCACCAAAGTATGTTGAAAGTCAACATCAGTGGGCCTTACAATCCATTCAAAAAATATATTTCTGGATTATATGCTATGCTGGTAAAATGTCAAGGAATAATGGTGGTAAGAGAAAATAACTACTTTTGTATGTTACTAACCAAGTATTATGCCATTGGGCTGCGAGGGAGACTGCCAAATAAGCCTGACAGAGGTGGTCCGCACTTCAGGGAATAGGATACCCACAGGAGGTCCTGGCACTGCAGGAAATAAACAGACAAAACACTGAATACTTTAACAACTCGGACTTTGCTTACGTTTCATTTACACTTATTTGTTCACCAAAGATTCTATCAAGCTGAAGATAAATCGTCCCAATGTTAAATGAAAGGTTAATACAAATTGTACATGTCAATAGCATAAAAGCAAATGTTCTACTTGGACTATGCCAAATAACATTGTTTACAATTTTCTTTGATGTGATACTACATGCTTAAATGCTTAACGTTGTCCCTACCATCATCCAGAGTCCTCTCCAGGATGGGTGGAGAACTGGGCCGTCCATCTCCAATCCGCGTGAAAGCCAGAACCTGGATCTCATACAGAACGTATTTCCCAAGACCGGTGAGCTGAATGCTGTGGGTGGCGTTCCCCTCCACCATCCAGAAGTGGACCGCACTGTCAGAGTCCTTCTCTTTGAACACCACCTGATCCAGGGACGAGAAAGGCGAGAGATGTTGGGGAAAAGGGGATTTGGAAATAAAGAAATTGTCACCCTGCTGCTCTGTATACTGCCTAACAATAGTTGTTTTTTCTTACGGGACAATTAGATGGTTTTTGACTGCTTAGTACAAGAAGCACAAACAGACCTTGTAGCCAAGAATGAGTCCATTTCTGTCTGGCTCGGGAACTTCAAACCAGCGCACCAGGATGCTGCTGGAGGTGGTGGCGAAGGCAGAAACGTTGGTGGGTCCACAGGAGGGGACTGGAACACAAAGAGAGCGGGAGCCAGAAACATTAGGCCTCAATAGTCCATTGTTTGCCATTTCTTCTGAAAGATTAATTTGTCTATTTACTGTGTGGATGTACTTTGATTGAACTGATACGGTTATGGCCTGTGTAGTTTTGTTTGAACAAAGCCTCTGATATCCTGGTATACCCTGCAGGCCTGCTGTAAAAAAAAAAAAAGAAAGACTGCAAGAATAGGCCTTTTCTCTTCCTTGGCACTTATCTCTGGACATAATGCGCTGATTCCTAAGAATCTGCTGAAGTGAGTGGAAAAAGGGAGCACAGGAATTCCACATTTGAGTCCATGTGTTCTCAATTTCCTCAGACTCCTTCCATTCCTCACTGCCCGACGTCTGCTGAGCGATATGAAAGCAGAAGCATGGAGGGAGAATTGCTCGGCTGCTAAAAAGAGCATTATAGTGCCTGCTCATACAATCATTTCACATATGGCAGTGTCAACTGTTTGTTTCTTTTAATATGACTAATCATGTAGATTTTCCATCCAGATGTTGCAACAATAACATTAGTATTAGAAAAGTAACACAGGGCTTTAATTCATGGACAAATCTATGAAAATATGGTCATGGTTCTTAAATAGGAATGTGTTGTCTTGCTTGTTTTCTGTGTGTTATAAATCCTGATTTAATTGTAGCTTCTGTTGACACAACCTGACACTTTGCAGCACAAACAAAAGTGCTTCTGAGTAATTAAGCGAGCCATGCGTTGGTGTTTTTGTGATGCTAATGATGCATATTTCTTCCCTCTAGGATCATTGATCATTTGACTCTCATATATTTCTCTCTGAGGATGACAGATGACTCACCAGACTCCCTCGTCCTGCCTCTGACGGGCTGGCTCCAGGGTCCCGTCCCGATGCCGTTGACGGCCTGGACCCTGACCTCGTACTCCGTCCACTCCTCCAGGTCCTCGATGGTGAACTCTCTCTCCAGGCGGTCTGCGATGATGTGGATCAGCGCCCGGCCCTGTGAGCCCGCGCGGGAGTACTGGACCCTGTAGCCCACCTGCTCTGCGTTCCCGTTGTACTCCCATTCAGGCAAAGGCTAAGCATGAGAGAGTAAGGGATAGGGAAAAGGGGTCAAAATAAGCTTAAACTGCGACTTTTTTTATAGTTGGCTTTTATACTGCACAATTAATCAAATGATTCTCCAAATCACAGAGGACTAGTGCAATATCTAAATTATAATTTTTGTTATAGGCCAACACATAAAAGGTTTAATGAGGTATTCTGGAACTACAGTGGAATCCAGGCCTACAATGAGTATACTACAGACTTATTAAGAAAATATTGTTTGGTGTTGGCCCTTTATAACAAATATTGGATTTTTACTACGGTAATATGAATATTTATTTAAAAAAAAATCCTTCCCTCTTATATCTGGAAACATATCACCATGGAAATATTTGTCAAAAATAATGGTAACTTGTTGTTTTTTCCAAATTGTGCTATACTATAGTGAGACATCGCGATTCACTAATGTGATGAATATTCACGAGATGCACACAGGAAGCTGAGTCCTACTCACCATCCATCGCAACCAGAGGCTGGTCTCGCTGGCGGTGCGCAGTGTGACGTTGGCGGGGGCCATGTCAGGGGGGGCAGGGAGAGTCTGGATCTTCCTGGAGGGCTGGCTGGGGAGGCTGGTGCCAACAATGTTCACCTGGCGCATACGGAACCTGAAAAAACATCGTAATGCTGCTTTCATCTGAACTGAACTCATTTTCGAAAACTTGGAATTAACTCCTGGGGTTTTTGTAACTCTTGCAGTGTGCATCCTCTTACATGAGGATTATTGCATTTGAACTGAGATCAGAGCACCGGCTATGCATACGGCATGAACATGAGCAGCAGGCTTGTTTGTTACAGCCTGTATATGCAACAAAAACAAAATGTTGCTGTCTAACTCTAATCAAATATAAACTGGCAGCACTGATGTTAGAATGATGATAGCTGTTGTAGGTCTTCAGGGATTGGTGAAATGTGCATTTGTTATATTGAATGTGATGGAGGAAAACAAGCAGAAGACTGAAACAAGATAAAGATCACGCATGCTGTTAAAAAATGATTTTGAAACCACACTGTCCATAATAAGCTTGTATCCAAATCAAAAGGAATGGAGAATGAGATAAGGCTCCTGGGATGAGCTGAATTTAGCCGAGATACTGAAACACACATACACCTTATCTGTTGTTTGTCACAATCTGCACACGCTTAATTAGCATGTTATCTAGCATTAGCTTATTCTTGTTCATACCTTATGAGACTATCCTATTACTATAACAATGCACTGCAAACAAAAGAAGATAGTCTTGTGACAGCCGATTCAAATTTGATGCGTTTGAGGCCTTTGGGTACTTGTTTGTTTGCTGCTATGTATAATTAGTTTTAGTATTTATTTGCAGGATTCCAGTCTAGGATAAATTGATTACATTTGAATATCTAGGCTAAGTCCGGGCCCATTTGAAGGTTTTGTGTTCGCCAATATTGGTTATTTTCGGATGCTCATTGCAGATAACAATATGAGGAGTAAAGCAGACGGTTCACAGTACCTGTAGAAGGTGTAAGGGTTGAGACCAGGCACCTCCAAGGAGCGAGCCTCAGGTTCGTTGGACACTTTGTGGACCATCACCCAGTCCTCATTCTCCCCCACCACAGAAACCTGGGAGCAAGAACAATTTGATCTTTAGTCTTCAGCATAAAGAAGATGACTTAAAAAAGGCAGCAAAACATGACAAAGGAAATGTGAACTTCAGCTCTGGATTAAATGTGGTTCACCTGGGCCTCCATCTGCCAACGGGAAATGGAGGTTTTGCCATCATAACCCGGTTTGAACTGCAGGGTGACGGAGCGTGGGCCGATGTTGGAGATTGCCACATTGGTAGGAGGACCAGGAAGCTCTGTGAAGAGAGAAGAGTCAGTGTTGAACTTAAAAAAGACAGAAGAAGAATGAGTTATGGAGCAATGCACTGACAATGCTCTGGGACTATTTTGTGTGGCAGCCTCTTCCACAGGCTGCTTTTGGGTTGTTGACTTTGATTAGGAACATCTATCTCCCGAAGCACCCCCTTGTGGCCGTACAGATACTGCACATAGATTAACTTCTCAGCCGCCTCATTTATTCCTCTCCCTTGTGCTACCAACTTCAGACAAAACAGCAAAAGTAGATTAGATTAGAAAAAGATGCATACACGCGGAGACAATGCCATGAATGCCAATTACACTGCAGTTATCTGGAGATATGATTCAATCTGATATCACACTGTTTACACTTGAGCCGAGTAAACCATAAGAATGGATTATTCCCTGGAAATCCAAGAGGGGAATCTGAAAACGCTGAATATGTAGAACAGCAGGACGCCTTTTCAGTGTATATGAATATCATCGTTTGTAGGAATGTTTTTTGTGAGTCTGTGTTTATTGGGAGGCTGTTTGAGAATGTGCCTGCGCATTAAACAACTTACTCGTCGTCTTCTTTCCCTTTCATGCTTCTATCAAGACAAGCATTAAACCTACTATACCATATGCCCATTCCAAAGCACGATATAGTTTAAATAAATCCTAGTTAAAAGATATTAACGCCAACTGCCTATTGGAGCGTGGACAGTGGCGTAAAATTCAAATAGATGCAATCACTCCAAAGGGAGCACTTTCTTCCAAGATTGCTTAAATGCGGGTTGTATTCAACATGAATGGAATGCAGATTACACGGGTCATAGTTAAATTACCACTTTTAAATCATTTGCATGACTGATAACTAAGGTGGTTATGGTACAGTTGCCGGCACATAGGTGTTTTCTTTACACATATACAATGAGAGTAATCACCATTTTGGGGACTATAACGGCTGCTGTGAAGCCTGCTCTCCATTTAACAGCCTGTTTTCTCACAGGTTTCACAGATGCTCTGAATGCTGCTCTAGTAGTTGATGTGGGCATTGTGTTTTCTATAGCACAATTTCGCAAACATGAAATCATTAAAGACCATAATTGTCCTTAATGCTCTCGTGGGAGCTGTTATTTCGCAGATGTGGCGCAGCTATTTGTATCGGTGACTCTCTCCGGCTCGGTCCCGGCTGAGGTGACCCGGGTCAGATTTCATTGTGTCTGGCGCCAGACAACAGAGAGAGTGTTCACCAGATTGAAGGTGAAGCAGTAAATATGCCTTTAATAAAAGGTTCCCTGCTATTGAGATATCAACCCGGAGTGAACACTTTTAACAGAAGGGCCTGCATTATAAACAAAATAAGGCTTCAGGAGGCAGGGAGGCTCAAATAAAACATGCCATTGAGGTGCATCTCGGGGGATGTAGGAAATTGCTTTTGGAGCTTGACTTTATAGGAACTAAAACGAAGGATGTTTTGGTCTTAATTACTTAGATTTTCATAATGATCTCTTTAATCAGTCTATCAAGCCCCTCAGACACCCCTTTCAGTAATGGTCTGTTTGTATGCACAATTTAAAAATAGTCAAAGGCAGAAAACCCCCTGGGGTCCTTGAATGCACCTAATTGAAGGTGTTAACTACTGTTAAAATGTAAGTATTATACTGGTGTGCAGTCCCTAGTACACACAATACTGACTGTAACACCACTGTTGTGCAGTCACACTGTTCATGTGCAATATATACATTTACTTTTCTTATTGTTAAAACTGGGTGCTAGTTCACTTACTTTTATAATGCTGCTTCTTATTTTGACCATTGTAGTGTACTAATTTGATTTGTATTACATGTGTGTTTGCCTCATTATTATTTGTAAGCCCACATTAAGCTTACTTGGCTGTTGTAATTTCCCTTGCTGTGGGACGGATAAAGGATATATGATGACACAAAATTAATCAAATGATATGCTTATAAAATAGTAATGGCAAAATAATAAACAAGATTCAAACCACAACAACAGAAGGAAGTAAGTGGCCTATCCAGACAGAATAGTTGGGACATTTCTCGAAAGAAATTGTATTTCTGTCACCACACAACTGAGACTTAGCCCAATATCTCACAACATGGGCAAATATTGGTGTGGCTAGATATCCCCAGAGCTAAGTGAGAACATATGTTTTGTTGTTTTGTGTACTGATCGTTTGGTGTGAGTACTGTTTGGTTCCTGACCTGGTGGGACCCCGGAGGAGATGGTGGAGGAGGATAGCTGGCCCTGGCCTTTGGAGGTCATCCCTGCCACTTCTATGGTGTAGGTGGTGAGAGCAGTGAGTCCAGTGACCCTGTACTCTAAGGTGACATTGGGCAGGTAGTGGGTAACTCTGGTGTTGGTGCGGTTGAACTCCTCCCACGAAATGCGATAACCTGTAGAGCGACAGAGATTGGTTTACAGAAACAGACAGAGAGTCCTCTTGGGGACAATTCTACATCAGTTTTACTACAATAGCAACTCTCGGCGAGCATGCCACGAGGCAAGCTAACAGAAATATTAAATTAACTTCATCAAAAATTGAATATAGCAAATTAAATCAGCCCTTGATACACACACACACACACACACACACACACACACACACACACACACACACACACACACACACACACACACACACACACACACACACACACACACACACACACACACACACACACACACACACACACACACGCTTACTGTACCCTGTCAAAGTTAATACAATTTGCTTCTTGGCCAGCAGCTCTTTTCATGTGATTGCATAAGGCATTAGGCAGCATTTCATGCCAAATCAATAATTTCACATGGCATGTCACTGCTTGTCTCCTGCTGTGTGCACTTTAAAATGTGCTGGAAAAACGCTTCAAGATATTCTGCTGGATTTGGACCTCGGTAAACACTTAAATATTAAAGTCAGTGTAAGCCATTTGTTCTTCCCTTAGATTTTGCAGTGTAGAACTAACAGTTGCCTACTAGAAATATATTTAATTAAGGCACGCATATCCATGGACTAGTGAGACAACATTTTTATTTATAGAGGTCTTAATATGCTTTTTGGGGTTTCTCTTTCCTGAAGTGTGTTATATAGGATTTAGTGCATATATGGTATGCGAAGACTAAAATCCCAAAGTTCCCTCAAAAAGTAGTTTCTCTCCCACAGAATGTACTTGCAAAGCTCATGGGAGGAGAGAAAATGTATGTGTGTGCAATGTAATGTTTTATGTAGGAAGTTGTATCAATTTCTGACAAGTGTTGTTCAACTGATGTAATGGGATATTGGCTGTTGTGTAAGCTCATGCAGCTTAGGCAGCAGAAGGAAAAAAAGAAGCAAAATAAAACAAGAACATTTCATTGAGCTGGCTGCAGAACTCCATCCTTGTACCAGTGTCATGTTGAGGTGAGCTGGATATACCTGTGAGGACTCCATTCTTCTCGCCAGGCTCGCTCCAGCTGACTTTGAGCGAGGTGTCCAGGATCTCAGTGAAGCTCAGGTGACCCACAGCACCGGGGGCTGAGCGGGGACAAATAATAAACATGAGCTGGGCCAATGGGTAAACAAGACACTGTGGAACTGTGGGCATATCGGCAAACTGGTGACGGCATTTGAATTTTCACTAAACTAAATCAGCCCAAACAAAAAGTGTCTGATGACAAGTTGAGAAAAATTAACAGTTTCTAAAGCTTAACCAATTATCTCAGAGGGAAGTCCCAATTATGATGATGCTGGCTAGATGCAGCATAAACTCAGTCATTAACACTTCTGCACAACTTGGTTCTGCATGAATAATAGATGTTGCCCGGAGGATGTGTTAGTGTGAGATGCTTCATGTCCCCTCGCCACCACCAGAGAGTGAGAGAAATGTGGACGAGAGTCACTTACTGTCCTCGTGTGTCCTCAATGCTTTGGGCGGGCTTCGGGGGCCGTCTCCTGGCGTGGTGAAACACAGCACAGAGGTGTAATACTCTGTGAACTTCTTGAGACCTGTCACATATCCCACATGGACGCTGTCCTGGAAGTTCGGTCGCACTGTTACCATAGTAACATCGTCGTCTCTGCCAGGCTCCCAGGCCAGTAACTGAAACAGACAGAGAGGGACACGTTAGACTGAAGAAAATCAGCCAGAAAGCTGCTAATGATGTTTCTGTAATACACATTTAACCTTACAAATCCAACAACATTATCTCCCCTCGGTAGTCATGAGCCACTCTGAGGAGTTATTTGGCATCATTGCTCTCCTAAATATATATTTAGAAAGACACCCTGAAGAGCTTTTCACTGGGAGGGTATGGCTGATTAGCTCCATTAAAACAGACTAGGAAATGTAGAGATTCAAGGCTCAAGAGAGGCATCTCATCATGCATTTTGATAGCGCACCATGTAGCATCTCCAAATGGGAGCTGGATCGACCAATTAGGTGCTTAGTTAATGAGACCCATTGGATTTCTGTTGGGTATGTTTCCAGAGAGTGGGAAGCTTGCAGGGAAGTCAAGAGCTGGCAAAAGAGATGTCAGAGGGAGAGATAGTTGATTGTCTGCCACTCTTATTTTCCCAATCCCTTTTCCAGCACGTATTCCTTTCCTTACCTTTCTATCACCTCTCACACATTTTAAATCTCTTATTCCCATTGCTGCCTGAGTCTCTCCCCGGAAAATATTTGGCATTTATAATTCAGATTGGGTTTGAACAGTGACCCCTCCACCCTGCTGAGTAAGGCCTGTGCAGCACTATTGAACAGACAGACAAAAAGGCAAGGGGAAAAGAAACCAATTATGTAATTAAGTGGCAAATTAGTCGGAAATAGAGGGATATTTCTGGAGGCGGAAAAACAGCAGTGCCCTCTTACCTGTGGGCTACATTTCTTAGAATATTTCAATAAAGAGATGGACTGTATTCAAGAGCCCGATACAAAATAATGAAGACATTCATCATTACAGCCTCACTATAAAACATGTGATAAATGGATGCGGGAATAAAGAGAGTGACCGACTGACAAATGGGTGAACACGGTCCATTCGTCACCATGACATCAAATATATTTTGCCCCTTGGCTCCGCTCCTCCTTTTGCTACACAGGACATGTGATACTATAAGCTCATCGCTGACACTTCTGTCAATGGATGTGACGGCCGGTGGGGACGTCGCCGCGGCAACTACTGACCTTGTAGCCCTGGTTGATGCCGTTGATGAACTGAGGGTTAGGGGCCGTCCACGTGAAACGGATAGTTGTCGAGTTGACCGGCTCGGCCTGCACGTTGCCGGGGGCGATGGTGGGTACTGGGATGGACGATAGGAGGAAGAGGAGAAGTGGAAAGACAAAGGTGTGAGAACACATTTCAGATGACTGCTGGAAGCCTTCCTGCATCTATTTTGATGTGGGTATTGATCGCTGCTGCACAGGTCAGGGCTCATACTGCCATCACTCTCCTTCTGTTGGCACTAACACCTAATACCAGGGCTCTGTGACTTTCTTTGAGTGAGCTGCTTATAGATTTCAGCCGGGATGCAACCTTTGTGTGATCCTTACAAAGAAGAATCAATGCATCAAGTGTTTTTTTTTTTACTGGAAAATGTGTACTGCTATTATTGCACTGTTCCCGCAGGATGTTGCATCGTAGTCCTATTCATTATGAATAATGATCGCGCTTGAAATTAACACATATAAACGCAGACTCATTGAAAATGACACATTTGATAAATAAGAAAGAAATGAGTCAGCACATTAGTTTTGGTCTCGGGTCGATAACATTGATGATGTGCGCTCACCTCCCTGCAGAGTCCACTCAGTGACTTTATGGCTGAAAGTGCCCAAACCCGCCCCGTTGTACGCGGCAACCTCAATCTCATAGTTGGTCCAGATGATTAGGTCCTCCAGGAGAAGGTTAGTCACCTCAGGACTAGTTATGTTCTTTATCTGGTAGTCCACAGGAAGTCCAGTCAGACGGTACCTAAGACACACAGAGGAAAAAGGAAGCATTAGATGCATCTGTTCATTGTGTTTTTTTACACCCTGAATTTGAAATGTATTCCAGTTCTGCTGCTTGAGTCAGTACACTAGAGTCCCTGCTAGGGGGAGACAAAGCACCAGCAAACAAGCAATTAAAAAAACCACTGACAGACCTGGAAAACACCTGCTGTTTTATTTGGATGTAATGAATGACAGAAAACCAACCCTAATTACATGTTTACAGGATTTACACTCAGTTTGGCGTTTTGCTGACTCTGCCTATTAAAGTTGCTAAAGTTTGGCTGAAGTCAAAAGAAGTCATAGAATGTTTAGTTCTCTCTCAGAGTGAATCATTTGGTTGTTTACTGAAACTGTGGGGATTTTAGGCTTTAAAGTAAAACATGCCGCCGGTAACTTATACCCAGCTCTTACCATAATTAGATAATGGAGTGGAAATGAAGTAAAAACTATATTAAATGGAAGATTTTCAGGTAGTAATTAAAGTGTGGGCTGGTGTGCATAACAAGGTATAAAATGACTCTTCACAATGTCTCTTTTCATTCGTTCATACTGAAGTTTGCAAATCTTAAGTTCTCAATGCGACAAATTATGTGAAATCAATCAATTAAAGAGAACACCAAGCCAAGGTAAACAGACGGGATCATATCTTCCTTAGATAAGATTTTAAGCTGAAGTGAATCTATGTTTATAACTTATAACTATACAAATAAAGAAATGGATGGTTGGATGAACAGGGATCTTACCGGACGGTGTAGCCCCTGAGGATGCCGTTCTGGTGGCTTTCGGGCGGGGGCTGCCACTGGATCATGATGGACTGGTTGGTGCGACCGCTGGCAATGACGTTTTGAGTCGGAGCACTGGGGGGCTCCTCTGGGAGAGAGACCCTGCACAACACATAAACATGCAGAGTTTTGAAGAGAGAACAAGTGAGGAAAAAGGATGTTTTCTTTATGGAATTATATAATGGAGCATTTGATTTTCATTTCATTTCATTTCAAACCTTTATTTATGCAGGTGAATCCCATTGAGATCATTGATCTCTTTTTCAAGGGTTTTGAAGATTAACCTCAGTTTAATTTCAACTGAAGCAATTGCGCAATATAGGGGTGTAACTAGATTTGAGGGTCAACTATCTAATATCATCAACGCAGACAACAAAATAAATCAGTACACATCATCATTTTTAAGATGTGCTTTTCTCTGAATGCAATAAGCGAACAGTGCCAGCGGCTGTGAATACAGGCCAGTTTTGTGACTAAATTCTACAATGACTCATGCTCAGCTCCCACGTCATTTTTGCCACCTGCTGATTATATTGAAGGAGGTTAGGCACAAGAACGACTCAGGCTCACTTAAGGTGGACCAGCTGTTCTCCTTTTAGTGACTGCTTCAACAGCTTTGACCAAAAACCGAGACCTCAACAACATGTCAATTTAATCAAAAGAAAATGATCTAAATGTCTGGAAGAGCTCATTTCTAAAGTTGTCAAATGATATTTAACTGCTTTTTGTAAGTTGAGTAGCTGATGTGTTGAATGGGGAAATTATATCTTGTCTAATCAAACGCAGGTCCATGAGAATTGGATAGAAACAGTTTTGACTTTGTAACATAGGGAAACATTGTATCCTTGTCCAAAGAATGGATATATCGTATCATGATAAAAAGCTGTGATTGCTACTTCGAAACCTCTTCTTCTGTCCCCTTATCGTTTCTTACAGCTTTGTTTTCTTTGTTAAAAACCCTGACCATATCAGGGCTTATCACCACCCAAACGATATATATATATATAATATTATAATATATATATATATATACTATATAAAACTGTGTCCCTGACAAAACACCAGGAGCGTCTAGAGATCAGTGGCGGTGACTAAGTTCCAAATGGCGTCACAGAGCGTACGGTGCCAGCTCCCCTGCACACAGACGGAGCCCCCCCGTGGCTCTCCCCTGGCAGCGTGACTGACTGGTGC